TGGAAGTTTGACCTTAGTTTTTGGGGAAAAGTTTTATTTTGAAAAGCTCAAATCCACCATGTCATATTCAAATTTCTCGCGACAATTGAAAATCAGAAGTGAATTTAATCAGAAGATCCGAATCAAAATTGCGGGAAGGTCGGTAAAATTAAATAACTGAGAACTCCTCAAAAAATTTTTCTTCAATTTAAAAATGAGATTACTGCATCCCGGGTTTTTCTGTTTTCGGGGCTTCTTTAGACAAAAAAATTCTAGACTTTGCATTTGAGTAATTTGTTTCATAAGTTTAGTTATCGTCCATTTCTATTAAAAATTCAATTTTTTTTAATATAAACTACTGTTAGATGCAATTGCTTCTGCGAGTACAAAAACATTCGCGTCGATTAAGAGTGCTTTTTTTATACATCCACAACAAAACATCTGTTTAAAAAAAAGAAGTTCTAAATGAGAGAGCCGCAAACAACGTGGTCTTTGCGCTGGTTAAGTGAGAGTTTAATATGCAAGTTTCGATATTGATTGATTTAGACGAATGTCCTCTTTTTGGAAAGTCTTAAAAGCCGACAGTAAAAATTGTTTTGTTTTTTGAAGTCTGTTAGCCAAACAAATTCAAAAAAAAAATTAAAGCAAATTACAATGCCCTAAATGAGCTAACTACTATTTAACAACATCTATAACAAAGCCCCATTCCGTTCCGTTCAATCGCTTCTTTAACTTGCCTAGCGCAATTCCAAACTCGCCTACTTCAGCAGTGCACATGAATAAATCAACTTGGCACAAAACTCGGGTTCAAATCAGACGACTATGTTTTGGGACATTTCAACAAGTAAAAACTCTGAAAGCTTTTCAGTTTCTTTCAATGATTTCATTTCCTTTGTAAGCTGAAATTCATAACAAATTTCAAATTTTGCAATTAATTGAATTGAACGATCATAACGTTAAGTTCCTTAGGTTGTCTTGTGGGCTCAAATTGGTCGCTTAAAGTCTTAAACTTGTCTGATGACCAAATCATATTGCTAACTCTTTATTTTATTTAGGCATAAATCAATTTGAGCAACCAATCTTTTATAAAGACTCGATTTCATTAAAAGCAATTACCAGCTATCTGCGCCAAAATTTGATAAAACTTAATTTGATTCGATGGTTTATTTCAGTGTACTACAAAAAGAACTATTTTGAGACATTTATCAGTTAAAGAAAGTGCGAATTTTTTGGCGAGCTATTGGAAGCATCTTAGGGTCATTGGGAGAAAGTTTGAACATAAATTGTACCCATTTCCCCCCTTAAAATGTCCCCCCTTAGTTCTGCTTTTCTGTTTCTTACTAGTTAAGCAAATTTTGGGCACAATAAGTAGTTTTTTGATCGAAAACGAAATTAAAGCAAACAACATTGCCCTTAACGAGCCAACTACCATTCAACAACTTCTATAACGCAGCCCGCATTTCGTTCCGTTTGATTGCTTCGTTAACTCGCGTAACACAATTCCAAACTCGCTTACTTTAGCAGCGCAAGCAAATGGTTCAACTCGGTACAAAATTTGGGTTCAAAATCAGCTATACTAATTTCTAACAACTGGCCTCGCTTCAAGCAATAGCATCCTCAACCGATCAACAATTCTTCTCGCCTTGCTCAATCGTTTTTTCTCTAACTGAGAACCAACCGTTCGTTCTCTTCTAGTAAGTATTCTATTACTCCGAGAACGAAATATTCTATTCACCGGCATTAGTTGCTCTCACACTTTTTTGTTCTCCGGGACCCTCCAAATCCTTATCTTTCTGTAAATTTAGTTTTATTTAAGTCCCGCCATTCCTTATCAGTCCTGGTATTCGCTTAAATTTTTCATTCGCACATGTTTTATGACTACGCCCCTTCCCTTGTCAGCACTGCCACGAGCCAACTTCGGTTTTTCATCAACATTTTCGCGCTTATTAGAAACCCGGTATGCAGTAGGTGTCACAATTCGACCAAGCAACATATGTCATAAAATTCTAAGCAACTACTTCTTGACATCAGTGAACTTCAGCTCTCGAGTCCAACTCAACTTCTAAACCATGCTATGTTTACTCAGTGACCCTCCCAACGGCTTTATTTAATTATCCCGTTAACATTCCTTCCAAAGAACGAACTTTTAATGTTTTTGAGGTATCTGATTAGTTGTTCAGTACTTGTCCCCTATTGTGTGTTCTAAAAGCTCTGGATACTTCGTTATTTTGGTCTATAACCCTGCTTGGGCTTCCAGTTGCCGTGAACTTCCTTCTGATTTTGCTGACTAGATCATTGATCTCAAAATTCAGAGCAAAAATTTTTGCAGCGGTTAGGGTTTAGACCATCATTAATTGAGACTAAAGTTTGTTCATCTTTCGTGATTTCAACAATCCTGATGCAAATTAAGAATCTTTCATTTGCCATGATTCCATGTAAAAAAAGTGTTACAGGAATTTGGACTCATTCAATTTGTTTCAGAATACAAATTGATTTTTCTCTGATTAGAGACCAGTTCGAATTAATCTTATTTTAGCGTTCTGCTATCTATTATCTGAAAAACATTTTCAGTGAAAATAGTTTTAACCCCTCAATCAGCTGATAGTTTCAATCAGCTGATAAGCTTTTAAAAGATTTCATGTCACACACATTGATTTTTCTAGGGAGTTTTGCGCAAAGCTGGTACTATTCCTTGCATCAAAGTATCAAAACAGCTGTTCCTCGAAAAAGAAATACAAAACTCTATTCACCCTTCTAATGCTCTCATACAGTCTGATTGATTACAAAAACAAATCTCTTTTGATTAAGATCAAAAAGACTTCTTAATCAGCTCACCTCAATGTGCTTGAATAGTTGCTTTAAGCTTCTCAGATCCCTTTTTAAACCTGATAGAGTACCTTGAAAGTGCAGAATTGCAAATACAATGAAAGAGAAATGCAGACTATTTAATGACTATTTCCGCTCTGTTTTCACAGAGAAAAACTAAATGTATCGTTCATTCTCGGACTTTCGCGAACCATGTTCAGACTTTCGCGATCAACTTTTGGTATGTTCAGACTTTCGTGGCTCACGGCGCGAAATATGTCCAGACTCGTTTGAGTTTCCAACTTCAGCTATTTTTAAATACAATTCCAGCTTGTGCTTTTGTGTACCCAGGCTTGCTAATCGGTCATTTCTAACAAGATTTTGGATCTCAACTGGAATTATTATTATTTTTTCTATTGCACTAAACGAGCATTTCGTGAAAAAAAAACTTCGCTATTTGATGAAAACTGCTCTTACTTATTCTTTCAACAATTACCTAATTGTTCTGAATTTTTTTATGATCACGCTTTAATGTAAAACTTCCCAGACAAATTTTTGCCTTGTTAAGTAGACAACTGCATCTCCCCCTACAAAGGAATGAAGTCTTTCTACTACTACTGCTGCTACATTTTTTGCAAAAAAATTACACTTTTATTTGAGTTTAATTTAACTTTATTAACAAATTTTCTGATTTCTCGTGTGTTTTTATGTGCGTGCTTGCTTCATCTTCTCAAATAACTTTTAGTAAATGCAGATCTGACATCAGTTGTGAAATGTTGATTTAAAGCTTAGATAATAAAAATATGTTTGTTCAGATCTAATTGGGCTGAAAAAAAGTTATTTCTATACGTTCAAAACAATACTGCGACACTCGCGACAAGTGACAACTCGGAAAACTTAAGGAGCGCAAGTTAAATAATTGGCTTGAAATGTGGTATTAGTGAGTAGGACCCGCTTGCTCGGCTTAACTTCACTGCGCTTACATTCGGCATAAGTGGTATAATGCCCGGAAATGAAGATTTGCCGCTAACCTAGATTGTTGTTATAAAAATGTTGTTCAAATTTTTATGCATTTTCGCCAGTAGTCGCTTTCCTTAAATTTTATGAGTTTTCATTAGATGCGAATTGATGAAATTGTCATTTTGCGGTTCAAATCATTACCGTGTAGATTGAAAATCGTTCCCATGTTTCCCGCACAATCTAAAATTATCAAAATATAAAAACTTTCCTGGCTTTTTTTCCACCAGCAATATTTAGCCCCATAATAGTGGACTCACAGTCTGAGGAAAATATTCTTCGTTGATAGGTAGGGGGGACTGCAACGGAAAAGAGCCTTTTTTCTAAGTGAACCGGGCCCCAGATGAACAGTTTTTGGCCCCCACAATCTGAAAAATACCACAACTTCTCAAAATACCAGGTTTGCTTTTATATCGGATATAAGTGCGAACGCCTCTCTAGTTGCCGATTTTTCAAATAAACTCCCTCCCCCTTTGGTATTATTTTACAAAATCCCTTTTTAGTTGGTCAACGCGAAAGTTTTTTAGAGAATCCTCCAGCAGTTTTAAGGTGGATTACTTGTCAAAAAAGCAATTTTTTGGTCAAATATTTTCAAAAAGTGCAAAAAACGTCATCTTTAGCCTTTTTCTGAATTTATTGAGCCGCTTGCAAAATGAGGTCTTATGATGATTTGATAGGAGCTTGGGACATTTTGAACAAAACGCCCCCCCCCCCCCTCCCCCTTAAAAAATCATGCTCACGTGTCCCATATCTCAAGATGTTTTTTCTTCTGATTCCTGATCCCAAAAACTGTCGAAACCTTCAAACCTGAAACTACTAGGAGCAAAAACATCAAAACTGGGTTTTATTGAGTAATAAACCTGCATGTAATACCCGCCTTCGATAACTAGTTTTCTCTCATTCTTCTCTTAGAAGTTCCCACATTTAAAGATAGGTCTCATTTTAGAAATTTAGCGAGACAAAGAACTGAATACTGTCAGAAACATATTGGCTCAATAAAGTCAAGATTTCAAAGAAACCGGGTTTGATATATGTGAGATTTGAACTGTCGGAAAAACTTGCGTTCCCGCCGTATTTCGATTTTGATAGACAGAGTGTGACTTTTGAAAGTAATATAAATATATTGTAATCGATTTTTAAAACAACTTAGTCTGCTGAAAACAAAAAATATTTTAAATATTTAAGAAAAACAGTATATTATGATCACTGTGCTCATATGTTTTACCCTTTTGGGTTTTTCAATAAATTTTGTTCCTGCAAAAGCAGAGCACATACTTGACCCAGACTACAGACTCCCGCAAAATTATTTTCCCGAAACACAAAACTTGAACTTCAAATATTTTTCTGTGGATCGTAAAATCATCGCCAAAACTTTCCTTCAAGTGGAAAATGTGGACAATATCAACTGGAAAACAATTACTCTTCATTCGTACCAGTTGGACATCAAAAGCGTACAAGTTTTGACCGCAGAGGGCGACGAAATTGCAAACAGTTTCAGACTTGTTGACAGGTTCGAAATATTGGAAATCACACTTCAAGCCGATAGACGACCTCAAAATTTGAATCTGACTGTTGCTATTGACTACGAGAACCTAATCGAAGAGGATGGAAAACTTTGGGGTATGTATTCCCCGTGGGATTGGTATTACGAGGCTCCGAAAGAGTTGGTGACCTATTTCCAACCAGCGTTTGCCAGAACAGTTTTTCCGACTTATGACGAGCCACTGTTCCGTTTCAAGGTCACTTTCAGCATTGAAATTCACCAGGATCCTGAGAAGCAATTAGGGTTGGTTTTATTCAACTCCGTTTTGACTAAAAACTGGACTTCTAATGATGTTAGCTATTTCCACTTCAAAGAAACAGTTCCCTTGCCAGCATATTTAGTCGAAATATCTGTTCTAAAACCAGCACATTACGTTCTGGCATTGGAATCCAGTTATTTCAACATACCAATTCGAGTCATTTCAGATAACACGTACTACAATACATGGTTGACTGATAAAGCTGCAACCGAAAAGTTGGACCAGATAATTAAGTTCACTTTGACTTATTGTGAAAGTCGTTTTGAAGTGCGATGGAAAATGTCAGAGAAAATTGACATTCTAATCACCCAAATGCCTGGAAAAATAGGAGGTATGGAACATCCAGGGTTGATTGTAGTAAGTGCAGAAGTTGGGCCCAGTTTTCCAAGCTCGCCTTCAGATTATTCGTCGCTTTACACGGTCGTGATCCATGAACTGGTTCATCAGTGGACTGGGGGATTATTGACGAATGATTGGTGGTCTTACTTTTGGCTGAATGAAGGATTCACCACATTTTTCCAGTCGGAAATCACACGTGAGCTGATCAAATTTCACCGACTTCCCCTTGAGGCAAATAAAGTTGACGTAAGTCACGATTTACACGAGTTTGCCGTTGTTGAGAAAGTTGATTCGGCGCACGCCAAAAACAACATGGAGTTTTGGGGTTTCACCAACGAGTTTTACTTCAGCGCAATGCGAGCAGTATCTCTACTTGATGCTGCGATGGGAAACAATTTGATGGTTTGTCTTGGAGTCATTTTCGTGGAATACCCTTTCCGATCTTTTGACTCCAAATCCGTTTTAGATCAAATTTCCCAGTGTCCGTATTCAACTATAAATGCAACAGAGTTCATGCGATTTTGGCTTTTTGATGATGAAATTCCAGTCTTGAAGATCAATGTTGACAATGTCGAGACCAGTGAAGTCACATTTTCATACGATTTCATGTGTAGCATTGAAGATTTCCAGAAAAGCAACTGTTTCAAAAGTAAGCCAAACTTCAAACCCCATTTCGCGTTGACGTTCCGCGACCACAAAAATATGCTACTTCAAGACGCGATTTTAGTAAGCAAAAACAACACAGAAGCCAAACTGCAGTTCGAACTTGAAAAATATCCAATTTTTTTCGTCAATACCTTCAATCAAGGAAATTTTCTGGTGCAATATCCCGAACATGTGTACAAATTTTTCTTCCCATATCTCCAAACACGTGTCATAAGCAAGGGAATAAAGCTGCCTCCATTCTACAAATCATTTGTAAGTGACATGTTTGAGCTATCGAGAAGAAATCGTACCAGTCTTTACTGGACCTTTGCAATTTTGATGGACAAGGAAAACTTAACTGAAGCAGGAGTTTTGGATTCACAGAGCCCTGTGAATACTTTCACTGAATGCTTGGAAGCCGAATTTTTCGCAGAACACGTAGACCCAAATGATGAAATTTGGAAGTTTGCATGTCGGTGGAGTACATCTCAGTGGTTTGAAAATTGCGAGGAGTTTGTAGAAGATACGATTGAGTTTCCGCCCGTGCAAAGAAACAGAGCATGTATAAAATGGGTCGCAAAGTTTGCACATGACTTTAGAAACATACTCGAAAGCTCTTTGGATATGTTGAAGTAATGGTGACTCAAATTTCAAATACTAAGGCGACTTAGCATTTACCCAATATCTGAGCTTTAAATTGAAGTTATTGAAGTTCCGCTCTCAGATTCGCAATATCACCCACCAAAAGCTCAAGTAATGATTTTTTTTCTGCCCTGCTCTTATGAAGAAAAGTTGTTGAAGATCAATTAGATCAACCTTATTAATCTTCAGATTTGAAAAACGGTTACAGCTGCAGGCATTGGTTATTTCTTTTTGTTCCGACCAATGTAAAATTGGGAGGAATTTTGTATTCAGGTGTGCTTAAGTTATATTTTTTTTCAAGCAAAATCAGGTACCACAAATAAAAGTTAGACAGGGCTGAGTGATAAATCATATTAAAGCCCTTTCAGTCGTGATTCGAACAACATTTAGAAATATTTAAACTATTCCCAATTTTGAGAAAACCGGTTTAAAATTTTGATTTTTGTCCAATTTTCCAGTGAAGCAAACGAGCAGGCTTATTATAGAGAGATAGTCGTAAAAAAAAACAGGTCAGGAATGTTTTATTCAAGCGCTGAAAAATATAGTAAAATAATATTTCAACGTTGTTTAACGCCAACTTTAAAAAAAACAATTTTAGTGTTTTTTTTTTCATTTAATTTTTTAATCAATCATCGCAGAAAACTGATTTCTAATAGACCATTTTATTAGCGCGAAATAAATTGTGCGTTAATTGTCCCAAATTGGCCAAAATGGCAATCTTTAAACCCCCATAACTTTACGAAAAATGATCACAGGTAAAATATCTTTTCAAATTTGAGCTCAGGACAACAATAGCTTTCGAATGATATAAACAAATTCCGTCAAAAATGGCTAGTTAAAAAGTCGATATTTGTCTGAAGAAAAAAAAACCCACCCCGAGCACAAATATTCCGTTATTTTCGTATCGAAAGTCCGAACAAAAATGACTGGAGTAGCTCGAGTAAGACGTCGCATTTCCAGTGAACACAATTTGAAAGTTTCAAGTGAGTTTTTCTGCTTAGTTGTTTTAAAGTTTCAAAGAAGTTTTCTGATCAAAAAGGCGCAAATTGTCTCTATCTCATATGCATGAAAGACGAATAAAACGTAATCACATGTGCTAAGTATATGCTTTTGCATTATATAATTTCCATTGAATAATTTTCTTAAAGCCAAGCGATATGCAACTGATCTCCACAATTTTAATGGCTTTGTAGCGCAATTGTATAATGACATTCGATTATTATAAAAAAAACTCTACCTTTAAATGGCGAAATTTTAAAATTAGCAAATTTAACGCAGCCTTAACTTTGTTTAAACCTTTGAGATTTGACGTACATATCTATAATTAAAAAATTCGGCCATCATACTGTAAGCAAAAAAAAAAACATTTTCAACCTTGCCAGCCTGCCACAAATAACCAAATATCATCATTATGCATTTCGACTAATTTTAAATAGATTTTTTATCACATATGACACCACTTACACTTTGCAGCTCCGATTTGATTCTTAGGTTAGAATCAAAATTATGAGAATGAAATTTTGTAGCATGATCGGCAAACGAAGTTAAATTAATGCAGCTGGCGGACGGATTTCATTAACGTATAGAAAAAACAACAAGACTTCTCTTACCAGGGCGAAGCCCTGAATGCTCTGACTGCCTTTTAAGGTTTTATGGAGCAGTAATAACATCAAAAAAAATTAAATGTATCAAAACAAATGAAAAATTTTTTTCTAAAATTTGAAATTTTTTTATAAAATCATCCCCCACACGCCACATAAAGTACAAAACAATAGATTTTGCTCCTTGTAACAAATCAATTATGGCAAATAAGCTTCTTTCAACCAATTTGGAACGATTTTAAGACGGATTAACTCTCCGCATACGCGTTATTAGCGCGAAATAAATTGTGCGTTAATTGTCCCAAATTGGCCAAAATGGCAATCTTTAAACCCCCATAACTTTACGAAAAATGATCACAGGTGAAAAATCTTTTCAGATTTGAGCTCAAGACAACAATAGCTTTCGAATGATATAAAAAGATTCCGTCAAAAATGGCAGGTTAAAAAGTCGATATTTGTCTGAAGAAAAAAAAACCCACCCCGAGCACAAATATTCCGTTACTTTCGTATCGAAAGTCCGAACAAAAAGTAACCGAAACCTAGCTTTGTGCTACCTTTCCACAAACTCTTATATAACAGAACATACAAGTTGTTAATATTTTGTCCTCAACATCTGAAAAAAGAAGTTGTTGTCATTTTGTGACTTAACTGAACTTTATATTTGGAAACTAACGTTGAAAATCAATTTGGAGATAATTTTCAGGTAAAATGTACAATCAACGGCATCAAAAATTTTCTTTAAGTCAGCGAAGCAAAACGAATCAATATTTGATTGTGGTCAATTGATTATCTAATAAAAACTGTAGTGAATAAAAATGCATTCGTACCAGAGAAACTGTCTTAAAACCTTATCTGATTTCTATTACTCAAGCTTTTCAAACCACAAACTTAGTTGGTTGTCAGAAAATAAGGTTTTCAAAAAATTTTCCCACAGAAAACAAAAAAGTTTTTGAACAACAATTATTGGTATTAGATTTTTCACCATCTGTTTGCAGTGGTATTATGCTTGAAATTTTCCTTTCTAAGGCAGATATTGGCAAAACTTTCCAAATGATCAACCAGCATCGGACTAGAAAGTTTAGTCGATTTTGTGCAATCCCATCATTACCAGTTGATTTTGAATTCTCATATTTTTCTCATATTTCAATTTCGTTGGCTTTTAAGTTTGGCTTGACAAGTTTTGGATGATATTAGCTGTTACTTATTCTCCAAGTGTAGCAAATTGATTTTCAAAATGTTGACTTTAAAAACAGGTGAATGTTGCCTTTTCTACCGCGGTGAAAATTAAAAACTTTTGATCTTTTTGATCTTTTTGATCTTTTTGATCTCCACTTTTGATCTTTTTATTCCAAAAACTGAGTATACTCTCCCTTACATGTTTAATAGTGTTATTCCTGAACATTTTAAAGTTGTCTGTCTTCTCACTGGATGGAACATTTACCCACTTTTTCATTCAATTGTTAGTTGTGCTCTCAATCCAAAGACGGTTACTCCTTTTACTTTTCTTGATTTATTATGGACATTATTTTCTAATTGTTCAGTCATGACCTGGCTCAATTTTTTTTTTGTAGAAATTTAGATTTTCGTCTTCAATTTTGGTTAATATATCATCTAAAATAAACAAGATTTCTTACAAATCTCAGTTAACAGTAAATGATAGTCCAAATACTGCTAGTTTGAGTCAGTTTTTGATTTCTATGAGACAGTTCAAAGTTCTTTAAAAATCAGAAAAAATTAGTTGAAGAACGTTAAAATGCAGAACGCTTCAAGGTAGGAGTAGTGCGAAATAATAGTCAACGTAATTGAGTTGACCTAAACATGGAGCAAAGTTAATCATTCTGTTGAAGATCTGTTTTTGTTCTATAGGAAAAATAAATGAAAACAAAATCAAACCGCAGAAGCGAAGCTGCGCTTCGCAATTAATAGCAAGCGCAAAAAGCAGCTTCATCACTTGCTAGAAGAAAAGAAGAAATACGACTCAAACTAGTTTAAAAACTTGGCTAGGTCTCAGATTTAAAGCTACTAACTACTGCAACCTAGAGATTATGAGTCTCACCCACTAAGCACTCAGCCACAAACGTTTAATTTTTGGCAAAGACTAACTACAAGTCAAGCAGAGAACAAGTTTTATGCAATTTCTCATGCTATAGTGAAGTTTCCATCTAAGTTAACACTTTCAATTAACAACTTTTTTGGCGAGTTAGGTTAGCCCAAAAGTTTCGTACTAATACACTAACGAACGCAAGCTCGCAAGTGTGGAAAATAACTAGCATTTTTTAAAATTCATTTCAAGCGCTTTATAAGAAGTCTACGTATGACAACCCCTAAAAAACCAATCCTTTCGCTGTCGATCACACAAATTTGAAACTGATCCAAGCAATAACTTCCTTCCGAAACCTTCTCTGCTGAATTATTTGATCCAAAACTTTGCTAGTCGAGGCTTTCGTAAGCCTCTTATTTTTTATTCCTGAATTTGTTCACTCACTTTACCTTTACTGCTTCTACTAACTGGGTCATGTTTCTATAGCCTCCACATATCTTCAGCAGAGCAGGATGGAGGCTTTTAGTAATGAGACAGCCAACTCAGTTCATGCGGCCATAATCAGTCAACAAATTCAAATAGGATTTCGGTTTACATAACGAAAATCAAGGCCAAAATCAAGAAGAGTTGTAAAAGAAAAGACAGCCTAAAACATAGCTTAGTGTCCAAAAAATTCACCAAGCATCAAAACTAGCCCTGATTTAGGATCAAAACTAGCCCTAAATTCACCAAGCATCAAATAACTAAAATTAGCCCTGATTTAGGATTTGAAAAATGGTTTTAAAAAATATTGAAAAAAAGCATTGCAAATCATAACATTTAGTTCAAACATGCATCTTAAATAAACGCGGCATGACTAGGTAAGAAACAATACTAGATGAAAATCTGATTGTTAGCAGAAGCGCTTGAGCCCAGTTGCACATCTTGGCCAAATTAAAATAAACTGTAGCTAATACATATAGAATTATTTCATACTTCTTAAAAAAAGTCAACATAGGGATTTCTTAAACATGGCTGGAAGTATTAAAGTATAGCGATTCACTCAATTTGAGAAAATGAATGAATAGGTGAACTTTGTATTCCACTGGTTCGAAAGAGGGGGTTGCCTCTCTTTAACAAAGAAAATTAATTAATCGAACCTAAACAATAAACAAAAACAAAAATCCAATTGCGAAAAAAAAACAAATTTAGATTAAAAATTTTAACACTTTTTCTGAAAAAAAAAACAAAAAATATCATCTTCACCATATAAAAAGATCTTCAATAATTAACAAAAACTATCTTTCGCTCGTGGTCATAATACTTGTTTTCTCCACTTGTGTATTACAGTATTTTAAATTGTTTATTCAAAGGCGACACTCTGCTTCGCAACAACTTGCAAGAATGCGACACAATGCTGATAGATGAACATACTTCTTATTTAGAAAAAAGAAAATGCCAATTTATTCTCTCGGCCTTAGTGTCTTTTTTTTAGAATTTTATGTTGCTTTTAAGGAGATGTTTTAAAACTGATTGCATAATTCCCTGCGTTCCGATTTTCAAATAAGATCAATTATGACGACTCATTATCTCTGCAACAAAAATGGATGCAACGGAAAAACGTGATGATGCTCGATGATGCAACTTGACAACTTGACAACACTTGATGATGCAACGGAAAAACATGCTCCAAAGGTAAAAACCCAATTTAAGCGAAAAAAAACTACCATTGAAAAACGAAGTACGGCAAAATATATTACAAAAAAAAACGAGAAAATCGAAATTTTTTTAGAAAATAGAAAACTCAACGAAGTTACGGTACCTTTTGCAAAAATCGGAATAAAGTTAGAAAAATGACACGAAACTGTAATCTTACACACGAAGTAGAAATGAGAAAGTATGAAATCCCAACCAAAAAAATTCTGGAATTATTTTGATAAGAAGGTGATGTCAACCGAGACAATACCTACATTCAAGCTAGGAAACGATAAATGTGAAAGAGCTCGTGAGGACAAAGTTGAGACTCTATCAAACTTTCTCATCTCAGCTTTTACTATGGACACGACAAGCGACTGAGATGTCGTGAAAAATCAAAAAACATCAGATGACCTTTTCCTCAGTAAAGAGCTACCTTTGAAAGACCGTTCTGAACTAGACGTAGCAAAATCAATGGGACCAGGTATTCTGCGCTTTTGGATTCTCTATGAAGTTCGAAATGAAATGATCGAAACATGGAGTGTAGCATTTCAAAAATCATGGGATTTTGTTATAACTCCTGAGTATTGGATATGTGCAAATTTCACGGCGTTGCTTAAGTAGGACTCAAAGAACGATCCAAACAATTACAGACCAGTCGGCCTAGCATCAAAATATTGCAAAGTTTTAGAAAAAAAATCATAAATCGGCACATTTTTATTCTACTTTGTTCTGGACAAAACGATTTCCAATAAACAATATGAATTGTTGTCAGGCCGATCGACAACACTTCAGTTATTAAGGGCATTGGATGATTGGACAGCAGAGTTAGACAAAGGCAGTGAAGTCGGTGTTATATATGTTGACTTTCGAAAATCTCACGATAAATTTTGAAATTAACGATGGAAATCATGGCGAACCTCTACAAAACCTTGATGAGACCGAATCTGACAAAAGCCATCCAATTGTGGAACCCTTTCATGATAAAAAACAAAATATCGATTGAAAATGTTCAGCGAAGGGCAACCAGATTAATCCAAAGCCGCCTATGCAAGTTAGTTTACTATGAAACATTGAAAATTTTGAAGCTCTCTACCCTGGAGTACAGAAGAATGCGTGGGTGTATGACAGAAAAGTACAAAATCTTGAACTATGACTACGATGTAACAGCAACTGAAGGCATGTTCACAATAAATGAAAGAAATTCTCGTGGAAATTTGTGCAAGTTGATGACAAGTCACGAAGTTGTTTGCGAAGTAGCTTCTTCACTATAGCAACTGGAACTCAAGCGTTTGCCAACCTTATCATGGAAGGTAAAATCACGCCAGCTTAAAGACTCCTTGAAGACAGATTGGAGGGCGGCGTACTCGAACCAACCTCTGAGGGGCGGCGTACTCGAACCAACCAAAATTCAGAATGACAAGCACCCTAAAGTTTCATCTGTCAATTGGAGTGGTGTTCTAAGAGGACCGCTTGCAAAAGTTCATGATTTGATTTTCGGCTCCATTTCTAGTGAAGATGTTCGAACATCTGCTCAACTTAGACATTGTGGAGCAGGACCCTCCGGCCTGGACGCTCTGGGTATGCGGCGCATTCTTTGTTCCAAAGAAGTTAGGCCAGCCTCAAATGATCTTTGCTCAGCTCTTGCCCTGATATCCCGCAAACTCTGCAAGACACATACGGATCCGTCATCCGTTGAGGCCCTTCTTGCCAGTCGCCTTCTTGCCCTCGATAAATGTCCTGGTGTCCACCCAATCGGCATTGGGGAAGCTATGCGCCGCATCATTGGTAAGACTTTTTGCAGGAAGTTAAAAACTGTAATGGAGATGTCATCTGGCCACCTACAACTCGCTGCTGGTCATGTGAGTGGTATTGATGCCACTATTCGTTCTATGAGAAACTTCTTCAACGATTGTGACAGTGACGGAGTCCTTCTGGTAGACGCAGCAAATGCCTTTAACCTCCTTAACCGCAGAGTAGCTCTACATAACGTCCAGTACAGCTGCCCTTGTGTAAACAATTGCCCACAATTTTTACCGCGATGCGAACAGGCGTTTCATCTTTGGTGAAAAACTATCCGATGAAGAGGGAGCGACTCAGGGAGACCCGTTTGCATGGTTTTCTATGGCCTCTCCATTACTCTGCTTATCTACTCTGTTCCTGTGAACAGTGGCAAGCATATCTGGTATCCGGATGACGCTGGAGGTGCTGGAAAACTGAGGCAACTAATACACCGGTGGGACTTTCTTTGTCAGATGGGACCGAGCTTAGTTTACTACCCGAATGCAGAGAAGACCATCTTAGTTGTCAAACCTGAACAGCTAAATGAAGCGAAACTTGTCTTTGAAGAAACTGGTGTTGTCATCACTGCCGAAGGTGCCAAAAATTTAGGCACACCACTTGGGTGCAAAAAGTATGAGAACCAGTTCTTGACCAACCGCGCTGAAAAAATTGGAAAACAACTTGAGAAACTGTCAGGAATTGCGTCGATACAACCTCAAGCAGCCTATGCTGGTTTCACTTTTGGATTCCGGAACAAGTGGAACTTTCTTGCCCGTACCGTGGACACTTTCAGTGATCATGTGCATTGCCTAGAGGAAACAATCGAGAATCATTTTATCCGTGCTCTGTTGGGGCACACGTGTAATCCCAATCTTCGTGACATATTGAGGCTCCCATGCCGCCTGGGTGGACTTGACATTCAGAGCCCCGTGATCTTGTCCCCCGGTGAGCTAACGAGCTCTGTTATTCTGGCTACTTCTTTGATGATTCTCCTAAACGAACAGCAATCATCGTTAACGGTGGACACACGCCATGAGCAGGCAAAACGGAAGCATGTTCTTATGTAAAAGAAGCGAGAACGTTCAGATGAACAATTTCAGAAGATTTTATCGGTTTCCACTAGTTCCGAAAAACGAAAGATGGAGTTAACAGCCGAGAAAGGAGCTTTCAATTGGCTGAATAACCTTCCGATTGAAGAAAAGGGATAAGCACTCAATAAAGGTGACTTTCGTGATGCGTTGCCTACCTGTCAAGAACCTGCCGACCAATTGCGTTTGTGAACAGTCCTTCAATGTGGATTACACCATGATTTGTAAATCCGGAGGTTTTGTAGGGCAGCGACATGACGGGGTTAGAACTTTTTTCGCCCATACCCTGGATTCTGTTTGCCGAGGAGTTGGCATAGAGCCTCATTTGCAGCCTCTTAGCGGTGAAATTCTCCAACCGGGTACTGCGAACTCATCTAACGAAGCGCGTCTCGACATCGTCTGCGACAATTTCTGGGCAAGAAGCGTTAAGATTTATTTATACGTCCTTGTATTTCATCCCAACGCACCAAGTTATATTGGAAAATCAGTCAAATCGTTATATTTTAACCATTAGAATGAAAAGAGGAGGTCATATAAAGACAGAATGATTAATGTTGAACGTGAACCTTCACGCCCCTTGTGTTTTCAACGACTGGTGGCATGGGGAAAGAAGCGTCAAAGTTCGTGAAAAGGCTCGCTCAGAAGATATCCGACAAGAGTAATACGCCCTATTCCGATGCCACTAGTGAAATCCGGCTGAAGACGTCTTTCTCGCTCATACGACCCGCTATCACCGGGTTGAGCGGAACCCGGAAGTGGGGAACCGACAACAGCCAAGACTAAAACTTCCATCACTTTGATAATATATTATTTTTCTTTTGTGAATTTACTTTGTATTTTTGAAGTCTTGATATGGAACACAGCAGCTTTGTTCCACGACTGGAACTCACTAGTAGTGGCTGTAACTTCGAGCGCTTACATCAACTTGTTCTAATCGAGGCTGTATAAACAATGGGAAAACGGCATTGTTGATACAGCCTTTCTTGAATAACGATTTGGACGTTTACGGAAGGAGCTGATCGACAGAGGCTGAGAAGCCTATATATCAGAAAAATATCTGTGTAACTGTCTATAATAGATCTTATGCAACAATTTGATAAGATTTTCTTCGAATAATATGTTTGACAGTTTTCATGGCTTGTGATCATTCTGTAATTATTAGTTAGATTTTTAAACCTGACGATGCACTTTAGGTGTGCGTTAAATTTAGCTCAATTTACATTTTCAACGCAATCGATTGGCAGATATATAAGATGTAATAAGGAAAAGTAAAAATGAGCTTCGAATTCGTCAACAAAATTCGGTTAACGTCTCGAATGCGATTTAATTAAAGCAAATTGCCTTTAGAAATTGGTAAACAAAACTCAAAGTTTGGCGTTGAACACATTCGTTGTATAAAAATGGAAAATGCCATTGTATTCTGTAGGCTTTTTGGTGTATTTCTGAACTTTTGTAGTTGCAATAAATTTCGTTGTTTTCTTTTATGGGAAGCAATTTTGACGTTAAACAATCTGCTTAAAGCTCCGTAGGCGCAAGTCCTGCGCTAGTTGAATTTAAAAGAAATTTTTGTTTCAGGTTTATATCTGTATTTGAGACTCTTAAATGGATGCAGCTATTGAAAATTGCAGTATTTTACTTCAAAAGTTGGAGTTGTTGACCGAAACGGAAAATGTTTTCGAAGACATCGCGCAATTAGACTCGGATTATTATGCCTCTAGGAATGGATCCCTGTTGTTGGAGTTCGAGGATGTTGTCTGTGTCAAAGATGAGCGACTACTTGAATCAACACTTCAGTGCTTGAAGTTCATATACGAGGATATGTTATCGAGTGAATGCACTTCTGCTAAAAGGAAACTTCTTTTCGAAATTCTTACCAGCATCTTTAAAAACCAAGGAAATGATACTTTAATAACTTCATTCGACTTTTATCTCTTTGATCTTATTAGAAGATGCATGGCAAACGCAAATTTGAAAGAGGCAGTTGTGGACACAATGAACTGGATTGAAGATTTATTGTCTCTCTGCACTTATAAAAACTGTCAAGTTTTGCTTAGTAATTTCTTCCAGTTAATTGAACATTTTCCAAATACAACAACAACAACAGGAAAAGTATCGAGAACGGTTCTGAGAATTTTGCAAAAACTGCTTTCTAGAAACGACCCATTGATGCCATCCTACCAGATCTATCGGTATATTTACGCAATTTTTGAGTCTGTCAAGCGAAATGATGAATCTGAGTTGGAGAAAAAGTCAATGTTCTGGTCAGTAATTTGGAATTTTTACTCCAATTTTAGGAAATTGTCTCAAATTTTGTCAATACGTGGAAGAAGGTACTTGTACCCCATCATCCAGCATTCACAGTGCATAAACAATAGGACCAATTTCTGCTCTTTTACACCCCAGCACTACAAAGTAGACCCGGGAAGTCTCATCATAAAAATGGTTTGTATGTTTTTGGTTGTTTATACTGTGTTTGTATTTTTTGAACTGCCTTAGGCGCGGCCAGGCGTCTTACACATTGCAGGCAGATGTTTGTTATTACTTCAATACGGATCTTTTCAAATAATTTGAAATACATACGTGTATTGTAAAAGTTGAGAAAATGAAAATTATGGAAATATTTGAATTTGGTTTTTAAGAACGTAGTGAAGACTCTGTTATAGGTCGTTATGATATATTTTGTTTTTTTTTCCACAAAAAGTCCTAAAATTTTCACGCTAAAATTTGATTTTTTGCAGTTAGTTTCTTGTTCCGACCATGTGAAAAAGAAATGGGCAGGAACTTGGTATTCATGTGTGGTTTAATTTTTTTCTTTTTGTTTTCCTTGCAAAATCACGAATAATGCGAGCGAGGAGGCTGGCAATAGCATATATTTGCTAAATTTGGCCATGAAAACTTAGTTTTTCTCAGATTGTTTTTGGAGTTTTTCTAGCGCCATTTAGAAATTAAAAACCTCAAAATTCCAAAAATTTTCTGCAAAAAAAATTTGAAAAAAATTAATTTTTTTTTATATTCGTTTGTTTTCTTAGTAATTTTTCTACAATTTTTGCTTATTTTACTATGGCTGTCGATTATTCCTAATTTTTTTAAATCTAAAATTGTGCTGCGGTTTGAAATTTGTTGATCTAAAATCACCATAGAATAGGCAAAATTCAACGAAGGCGGCAATGGCGCGCAAAAACGACTTTCGAGAGTGGAATTTTAGGCGGAAAAAACTAGTCCGTCAATTTTGTTTTTTCGATTTCCTTGCGTTCATTGACACTTTTCCAACTGTCTGTTGGCTTTTTCTTTGAAAATATGAAATGGTCTGTGCTAATTGCTCAGCATTCGGTTATGGTAGTTATGCGCAAGTAATACTTGTGTTATAGTGTGAGTCCATTTTTATGCCGCTTCTTCTCTGTGCCAAATACTTTCCTTTGCTTTTTAAATTTTAAAATAGTTCAGTACAATAAAAATTTCAGTACAGTAGTCGTGCGGTTGTATGCATTCATCAAATGCTCTCTTTTGCAGTCAGAATCAGCCATGTGTTTGGATCCAGATCTAAGTGAGCCCCGTTACGATCTGATTGTGAACTGTCTCCTGCAGCCATACTGCGTGCACATTCTGGAGCGAGCTCTGCTTCGACCCGAGACACCAGCTCAAAGTGAAGACAAATCATTGTCCAGTAGTGACACAGTTTCAACTCCAAACCTGTTGGCTCCTAAAACTCCGACAAATGGTTTGCAGCAGGTATTGACGGAGTTGATTGAGAAGATGATTTTGGATAGTGATGTTACTTCACAGCACTGGGACAATTTGATTACAAATATCCAGTTACTAATTCTGAAGAATCAGGCGATCAAAGTTCCGATTTTCATGAATGCTGTAATAACTGCGTTGAAAAGAAACCACCCGAAGTGGAAACTTGGCGACCATGCTCGTAAATTGTATTTTCTTCTCGTCTCGTTTTTGTCCATCATTACTCTAAACCAGACTATCCAGGTTACTGACGAAACACTTAACCAGCTTGTAGAAATAGACCAAGCGTTGGCATCAAACCACCAAATGAGTTGCTTCGACCTGGAAACAGCTAATGTGGAAGAAATGTCCAGGCTGATTCTCTGGTTCACGATTAAAACTCAGACCCAGAAACTGAAATACAGCGACGTGGACTTCCCACGAGAACTTCAAATTTCGCAAGCTGAAGTTCAAAATACATTACAGAAGATTGACAAAGACACCAAAATTTCACTGTATGTGAAATTGTTAAATTTTTCGAGCTCAATGGAAGCCTCCACAAATCAGTTGCAAAAGAAGTTGGTTTCAGAAATACTCAACTCTCCAACGCAGACACCGGTTAAATTAATCGGGAATCTTCTAGCTGCTGGGGAACTGAGCCCTCTAGACTTCAAATCAATACTGAATCTAACAATGTCCCTCAAAATTGTCCTGTTCCAGCAAATTACAACGCACTGGAAGCAATTAATGCCCCAGTTGGAAAAGGCAGGAGTTGCTGGAAATATAAACGTGCTGTTTCCATCTCCGGCGCTAGTCGAGACTTATGGGCGTCTGTATATGGACACCTTTTTCGAGACATTCTACCAAGCGACCATTTCAATCGATTCGGTGATCCAAGGTGCAATACAGCAAGCGTGTTATAGGACATTTTTAGTTTGTGCAGAGATATTTGTCCTGTTTTTACCAAGATTAAATATGGCCTACTTCTACACGTTTTGCTCTCATTGTATAAACCTTTCAAACTATAAGCATCGACTTAAATACTTGGAAAGCTCCCAGTTTTACTTTTCACTGGAAAACATTTGCATCCAAATGATGTCTTCTTTCGGCGTGAAAAACTTTATAGCTCTTGCTGAAAAATATAATACTACAAATATGATAATTCACATGGTTTCGCCTGATAATGAAGACTACAATAAACTTTTCATGTTGAATATCGCACGCTGCATGCATATATCAGGAGTTGACTGCTTCGACAAAATGTTCAAAACGTTCTTTGAAATTATCCAGGGGAAAACACCGCATATGTTATCACATCATATGCTGCATAATATGCCTACACAGTTAATTACACTGTACCAAAGTCAACCTTTTTTTCAAGTAGAAGTTAATCAAAAGTTGAAACAAGAAGTCGAAAATGAATATCACAATTTTCTGAAGCTGCTGACCCGGCCTAGTAATGAGGTTGTGAATTATATTTTGCAATTGAAAGGTCAATACTTTCTCTGTTTTTTCTGGAAATTATTGTTGTCTGAAGATGAAACGTTCAAACCGCCCCCGCTTGTCTGCGCTACAATTCTGGAACAAATTGGACCGAGAAATCTGACGAAACACATCCAGACATTCTGTGATTTTGTCAACTATGAGATGTTGACAAACGGGGCGAAAGGAATGGGTTCGAAGTTTGTAGACGTAATAAATAAGATGATCTGGGATTATAATGTAATGACCACGGATAGGTTTGTTTTCGCGATGCTATTGCGGCCATTTGGCCAAAAGGAAGATCAAGTATCTCTATTCTCGATTCATTTGTTACTGCAAAATAGCCACGAGTTGAAAGAACGAATAATTTATTATTGCGATTTAGTTGACAAAAATGATCTGCGAGATCCAGAAACAAAAGGTGGAGTTTTTGCAAATTGGCAACTTCCTTACAACCAAAAATATGAGGAAAATTTTCATTTTGAGGGAATATATAAAGAACACAACGCGCAACCTCAGAACAGGTTTTTCTTCCCCACGTACTTCAGCAACTTGTGCGTTAGGTTCGTTCCAATTTTCGATTTGGTGTTGACAAGATTCCTTGAAATTCCACTTTTGTTCAAACATTTATCGACACTTTTGACAAGCTACGGACGTATTTTTAGGTTACATAAACAGCCTATAACGTTTCTATACAAAACGGTTGCGTATTACAAAAAAGTGATCGAAACAGAAGGAGCGCGGCTTCTTGTGATGACAGTTGTTGATGCGTTCAAAAACTCCAAACCGCCTGAATGGTTGGTGTCGCACGAATTCCTAGAAAACGCAGGAACTTGCGACAGTTTCAAAAACTGGAACCCCGCTACCTCTTATTTGAACTCTCTTATCGAGAAACTGACGCGCGGAGTTTTTATGGCTGCTAAATGCGAACCCTTTTGCAGATTTAATTGGGAAACCGAAGAGTTTACTAGTGTAGCTAGTCATCTTCTGTGCTCAGTTTGTCTCGAGATTCTTTGCTTACCAAATATGACCCCACAGACAGTTGTGGATCACCTTTTTCATTTAGCAATCGCCATCGAGTCAGATATGTTTAACAAGTTCCAGCGACTAAACAGTGTGTCACTTATACTCAACCATTTGCCCCCTATTTACTATAGCTGTATCGAGACTTCGATTTTGATTACTATGAGCAGTGATGAAATACGTTTGATGTCTCCGTTAGCGGCGCTTGAAGTTTCTAACGTGAAAAACGCAAAAGAAAGTAGCGAGGTCAGCGCCACCGTTTTGAAAGCGCAGTATCTGTATTACCACGCAAACATTTCGCATCTCAATCTTGCTAGACAGTTTCTCACCGAAAAGTTGAAACCATTAGTAAAAACAGAAGCACAGTTGATTGTGTTTTGTCATTTGCTCTCTCCATTTTTTCTTATTTATTCAGATAATAAACATGTCTTGAAGACTTTATACGCTGATGTAATTGAGTTGCTACCGGTAGTGGCGGAGAATTTGCCCAAGAGTACGCCGAGTTTGATTTGCGAGGACTTGTTTGTGGATCTTCTTTATTTTGGAAAGTACACATCGATAGGAGACGACTTGAAGCCCCTAGTGGACAAAGCAGCCCTAACTGCAGGACCTCTTATGACCAACAAAATGAAGTTCTTCTGAATCTGAAAGCCATAATTATCACTAATTTAATTAGTTTTTCTGAAAAAGGTTTGAATTATGTGATTGAAACTGAAATTTATCGTCTACTTTGCGTTGATACATTGATTAATAAATATTATGTTTTAGTGTTATTTCGGCTTTTCTAACTGGCGCGTAACTTTTTTCGGCACAGTTTGAGTACTAAATCTAAAGAAAATATTAGCATGCATGTTAACGTTCGACAATAAACTGGAAAATTGGTTTTGGCCTCAATTTCAACGATCACGGTTGTTTAGAGTCATGAACGTAGTGAAGACACTATAACTCATGTTGTTTTCATTAACGTTTCGTTTCTTTTTAAGTCAGTTCATTTCCTTTGATGAAAGGAATGCAAACTCCGCTATCGACCAGCGAAAATGTAAAGGTCAGGAAAAACGTGAACGACTTCTAGTTTCGAAAGAGGATTTTAATTTTCAGAAAAAAACTCCTATTGATCCTGTTTTCTCAAATTGGGTTAATTTTATCAGAAAATTGTCAATCAATGATTGTTCTTGGAATTCAAAGAGCTTTAAGGCCATTTTTTTTGAAATTTGAAGTCAGTATTTTAATGTTTCCTTGCGTTCATGACTCTTTTTCAACTGTCTGCTGTCTTTTTCAGATTTTGTTGAAATGGTTGAATCTACTGAGAATGGATCGGCAACTGCGCCCGAAGTGCACTCGACTACTGGCGATGAAGGCGAGAAGATAGATGCTAAGACCGTACCTGAAGATACCACAACACAGACTGTTGAAGCGACTCCAGACAGTGCGAACGGCGGCACAGTACCGGCCAACGGTGACGCCCCGCCTGCCAGTAAAGAATTGCCGACAGGCGTTGAGCTGTCAATCATCAGACAGATTGAGTACTATTTTGGAGACATCAATTTGCCCAGAGACAATTTTCTGAAGGAACAAATACAGATAGTTAGTTTTTTTTTAATGACAGACCGAAACCGTATTAGTTGGAACGTTCTTAAGTAGATGTATGTACACAAATACAGTTGCTTGAGAAATATTTTTTTCCCTTTTTTGTATTTGTTATTTTTCTACCCGCTTCAACAGCTTACCTTGAATTTAACTGATTTATCGGGCAAATATAATTATAGCTGTTTTTATATAGAACATTCATCTTTTTGGAGCACTGAATGAAGGGAACCTTAATTTGCGGTTTGAAATCGTTGTTTCCTGTTTAGGACAATGGCTGGGTCTCCTTACAAACCATGATGACTTTTAACCGGCTAGCTAAACTGACGACAGACACAAACGTTGTAGCCACTGCCTTGAGAAAAGCTGATGGTGGTCTCATAGAGGTTTCTGAAGACGGGACAAAAATACGAAGAAATCCTGACAAAACCCTGAAGGTTGTCAACTACAAAGACCTTAGTGCCCGAACACTTTACATAAAAGGCTTCCCTCTTGAACTGAAGGTCGACGAGGTACTGACTTTCTTCGAGAACTCGCCTCTAGAATATGATAATGTTTTCTACCGTCGAGAGAGAGCGGGAAAAACGAAAGGACAGTTCAAAGGGTCAGTTTACATGACATTCAAAAATGACAGAGATGCAATGGATTTTTTGTCGAAAGTGAAGAACGGTGAGAAGTTTATGTACAAGGATATTGAACTGGAAGTTTGCTCTAAAGAAGAACATATTGCACGCAAGAATGCTGAAAGGTCAAAAAACAAACATCACAAAAAGGAGCAGGAAAAACCAAAAGGTGAGTAATTGCCATTCCCATCTTGTAAGGTTTTCTTTTGCTGTTATATCTGGTTAAAGTTGAACGAATATTGGGTGAAAAACAAAGAGAGAAGAAAGTAAAAAATACTCGATGTTATCAACCAAAATTGATACTACTATCAATTTTGGTTGATATCTCCAAAGGCCTGATGAAATGAACTGTGTATTGCTCTTAGAGTTTCCAGTGGCAAAAGACAACCACATCGGTAAAAGTAGAAATTCAGCGCCACCTTCTCGGCAATGGCGCTTGCGCGGGGGGTAAGGCGAGTCTGGCTTTCAAGACTGGGTCTTGTAAGAGGAACTCCGGCGAGCAAAAAAAAATGAATAGTCTAAAACTGCTGAGGGGATGCGGAGGGGCCTGATGATAAAGAATACGACGAGATATTTAAAGTAGTCCGTTTTTATTTTTTTTTCGAATAAGTGAGAAGAATAATTAATAGAGATCATCTATGATAAAGGTCGAGAAAAGGTTGAAGGGAGAAAAAAGATGTTGGAGATTTTTAAGAAAAGCTTTGTTCATGTATTGTGGGCTAATATAGTTTTTGGTAATCCCTTAACCTATTTGAGCTTTTGGTTGATCTTTCATTTCCCAAACCTTTCAATGGTTCGCTGTGCACTCAGGTTACGCTGTTCAGATTTTGATTCGACGTCATCTTGTTTCTCTAGCTTCGTTTTAGTAGTGCCCAAGCCTGTTTGGAAAGGAGGTTTCGTTCAATTTGACTTATCGTTTGCGTTTTTGCTCAATTCTTATGATTAGACATCGGTGCAATCTACCGATCATCGAATGTATCAATTTTGACTTGTTTGTCTCTCTAACTCTAGATATCAATCGTTCTCTATAGCCAGTTTGTCTGATTTTTTTAAATAATATTTTTAGGAATGATAATTTGCTATATTTGGTGAGCTTCTGTTTATCTTGAAAGTTAATGAAGTGAATATTTGAAGAAGTGATGCTCTATAACGGCCAATGTAATGAGAGGTAGCGAGTTTGCTTCGAGAACAAGGTAGATTTAGCGATGAAGGTCTGCTAGTTGTATGAGCGAGTTAATTAATGGCGATGAATTTTTTTATAGAATTCTGCAACAATTATGAAAAGACGTGGTTGTAGGCAAGGTTTTGAACGGTAGCATGAGGTCAGTTGAAACCGCAACATTATAAATAGCTTGTTTCAAAATTTTCTAACTACAAGCAAAGATTAGGATGTTAACTTTATTGAACGGTAGTTGTTGACCAAGTGAAATCACAACAAAACAGTAAGCTTCTTTCTGTTAGTTTGTCGAACAGGATTTCGTTGTATGAATTTGACCGCAGCGCATCAGTATTTGTGGAACCTCATTTGTTTTGCTAGCGTTTTGGTATCGTCTGATAATTATTTTTGTTTCAATATATTTGCTAGGGTTTTTTCCGTTTATGTTGGAAATATCAGTTGCCGAAGTTTAGGCAGTTAACTGGATTGCAATGATAGTCATTGCTCATCAGTTTTGTTAAGAATTTTGTTTTGTTACTGTTCAATTTTTTTTTCAAATTACATAAATTGAATGTTTCATGAGCACTTTTTGAGACGGAGCGCCAATAAAATAATAGCAACTGAAGAGTTATGCTGGATTTTGATAGCTATTGCTCAAAAAAAATCGGAAAAGTAACTTAAAATTAAAAAAAAATCAGTGATAGAAGAAAAAGAAATCAATTTTTTAGTCGAGATAGCATGTTTGTCTAGAATTGCTATAAGATTTTTCTATTCATGAAAATGTATGGGATTGTGTTTTCGTTTAATTTTTTTTGAGACGCTTCGCAATTTTTTTTACATAAAAAAAGTTTTTCTCAAAAACTATTTTTCTGATTTTTACAGAGCTATCAATAGAAATACCGCCTACTCCCCTGTGTGTGTGTATATATACTCTTCTTGTCTTTTTTTATTTTACTTCTGTCAACAGGCTTCGAAAATGTGTGGGGAATATTTGACCCATTTGATTTTTTTTCGTTTTCTGAAAATAACCCTCTCAAATCTTGAGATTTAGGTTTCAATGAATAGAATGGTTTTCAGAACTTTCCTCTGCATAAGCGGCTCCGCCAAAAAAAAAAAATTTCATCAAGTTTATGGCCTTCGGAATAGTCAAAGTTTTCGCTTTTATTGACGGTTTTTCGATAACTGACCTCCCTTATCTGAGATTGTGGATTCAAAGAAGATAACGGGTAGTGGTAAGCTACCTGGTGGTAACGGCTGCTCACAAAATCTTTTAGAAACAAAATTAAGTGCCATCGGAAAAGTCAAGTTATTGATTTTTTGAGCGTTTTTTTTTGAAAGTTTTGAATTTTCTCGACCCGGCTGTGAAAATTCCCAAGTCTCGACCCGGCTGTGGTAAGTTAAGAGCAGATTGTGGAAAGATCCTTTGCACAAGCAACTATGCCCAATTTTTTTAACCAAAATATTATGGCCCTCGGATTTTTTGACCGTGTTTTTTTTTTTTTTTTAAATTCTTAGGTTAAATTGAAAAACATCCTAACGAGATCAGAAATCATAATAACGGAGAAGGATAATATAATAATGGTGCATACAGTTAAAATTGCCCATGCGGTTTTCTGATGCCAAAATTAGGCTATAGTAAAATGTCCCGTTAATTTCACGAAAGTGAGTAAATTGTGATATATCTCATTGTTTTATTTCCTTTTTAATTTGTTTTAGTTCCAGAGTTTGACTATACGAAAGGTGCAATTTTAAAACTGAACGACATAGCGCCCGAGACGTCCCGTGAAGAGTTGAAGTCAGTGTTCCGCCCATTTGCGAGTGAACTGTTCATTGCGTTTGAGAAGGGATCCTCTTCTGCGTATTTGCGCTTTAAGGACGAGGATTCTGCAGAGAAGGCTTTGAAGGGAGCAACTGAGGGTGATAAGAAACTCGAGACTCCCAGTGGTAAGAAAGAGCAAAAGAAGAATTCCATATTGAGCTAAAATTTATGGTATATTGGTACAAAAAGAATGCAATTGTTATGCTCCTCAAAAAATGATTTTTAATTAGGTTATCAAATTTTATCTGCTTTCAGGAAAGCAGTTAGATCTTTAATTTTCTCAAAATTTTGTAGGTGAATTCAAAGCTGAATTAGTTAAAGACGAAGAAGAAAAAACAAAAGCAGTAGAAAAATTGAAGCAAGATGAGGCCGACTATTTTTCACGACAACAGAACAACTCGCGTCGTGGTGGACGAGGCGGAGGATTCGGCGGCGGTGGCAGAGGTTTCCGAGGAGGAAGAGGCGGGGGAGGAGGGCACCGAAACCCTTTTAATAAAAACAGAGGCGAAAAACGAGAAAACTCCGATGAGTCTAAAGAAGGACCCTCGGAAGCCAAACATACGAAATTCGATTCTGATCACGAGTAAATATTGGAATCCGAACGGAAAGACTACAAGCGCGTAGTCTTCTGTTGTCTCTCATGTTGCTGAAATTTTTGTTTCGAAGAACTGATGTTTTAAGTTGATTTTTAGTTTTGTTTCACCTAACAGTTGTAAAACTCTTGTCAGAGTTTAATGGCTATTATATGATTGACGAAATATTCAATATTTCGAAAAATAAAAATACATCTGATTGAAGTTAAATATTTCCAATAGATTCGTTCATTGAATTTTTTATTGAGTGACAAAGTTTAAAGTGAGTAGTTACAAACGGAGAGTAATAAAAAAAGCGCGTTAAACATATGGAATTTTCTTAGAAAGGCGTGATAGCCTTTCATAGATTCTCTGCGTATCGCAGAAACATCAATTAATTGGTTTCCCGTGCGGAGTGAAGGAATGTTAGTAGAAATATGATTTATTATTTTTGGTTATCTAAGAGGACTATACGCATTTTTTGTGCAATTACATTTTGATATCAAACTGTTTGCACACGCCAAGCTTGCTAGGTTGCATTCATAGTTATTGTGGTGCATCATTTTCAAATGAAGGGTTTTTGATGCAAGCAACTTAACAATAATAAAAACGAGTTCAGAAATTTTCTAACTCAATATATCTCGCAATTTATTGAAATGCACAATTTATACGTAATGCGACTTTATGCTTTGCGATTTGTTACATGCATGCAACGTTAGCGTGGATGCCTTCAGTTTATTATATTCCAAATTATTAATTGAAAAATTGGGTCGATTTGTATTTGGTTTCACTTTTGCCAAATTGCATTGGCAATTTATTAGTAATGTAGCTGCTATATTCGTGACTAGTGTTTGTCGGTTGTTAAGCTTGCGTGGCTGAGTGAATAGTGCGTGAGACTCAGAATCTTTTGATTGTAGTAGGTCGCCGATTCAAATCCTACACGTAGCTAATTCGAGGCTCATTTTCTTATTTCACTTGATAGAGCTGCCTGTTGGCCGTGTTCTCGCAAGTGTTTGCGTAGCGCAGCTTCGATTCTGTGTTTCATCTATTGAACCGATAAAAGCTATTTTTTTTCATACATTGGTGATTTTTGAAATATACTTGCGAGATTTTTGAAATGCTTAATTTTTTTTACGCAATATGTAAGTTATTCTAATCTATTACATGCAAAGTCAGTTCAGTTGCCTTTCGTTTATTGCAATCCAAATTATTACCTGCAAATGTTGCGGTTTTGTGCATTTTGAAGCTCCTGAATCTTTGAAGCAGCTTTCTCACTCGAGTTTTGCGAAGTTGCAGTCTCGCCTCTGTGTTAATTATAGCGGATGCTTTTTAAATGTCTATGGTGAAAATTTTAGGATGTGAGGCTCTGAATCTTGAGGTTGGGATTCGGTTCCGGCACTTATTAAAGATTTTTATTTTCTTTCGGGCTTGATTATTTCGGGCTACTTTGTGTCGTTCTCTCGATTGTGTTTGCAAAGTGCAGCTTTGCCTGTGTTGAATTTTCCAACTGTCTGTTGGCTATGTTTCGTTTTTTTTAAGAGTCATGAATGCAGTGAATACTCTTATATAGATAGGTCTTGATGGTGGTTGCAAAGTGCAGCTTCGCTTCTGTGTACAGTTGGAGGTTTAGGCGGTATAAAGAGATTTAGCGCGATATATGTTCTTTGAAATTCGAAAGTTGTGGTTTTTTCATAAATTAAGTTAGTTTTTGTCTGCTGGCTATTTTTAGTTTTCTTTTTGATTCATTCACACTTGCAACAACCTTCTGTTGACTGGATTTTTGGATTTGCGGCTTAAGTTTTAATTGATTGAAGAATCTAATTTATGCCTGTATTTATCAGCGAATTGATTTCTTTAGGCATTCAAATTCGGCGGTAGGCTTGTTTCGCTCCAGTTTTGATTTAGTATTACTGATTTCTCCAGATAATAATTTAGAGAGTAACTGGAGTAACGGCATTTAGAAATTGGATTGGTGGAGTTTATCCAGAGAGGCGCCAAATTGGTATGTTTTATGTTTAAGAGTCATGAACATAGTGAAAACTCTTATATAGGTCTTGGTGATTTTTGTTCGTTTTTTTTCGGGAAAAGTCTATAATTGTGCTCTCTCAAATGCGGTTCGTCTTTTAATATCTTTTTCAGTTCACTCAATTTCTTTTGTTGAAATGCAGGCACACTCCACTATCGAAGAGCAAAAGTGTAAAGGTCGCAAAAATGTGATCATTTTCTAGTATCGAAAGTGGGATCCTATTTCTTAGATTTGTTCTAGAAATATGAAGAGCTTAAACGCCGTATATTTTTTACAACGAAAATTTCAAAAAATTAAGTCACTATTTCGTCTGTTTTCTTGCGTTCATGACTCTTTTCCAGCTGTCTGTTGGCTGCAGTTAAAATTCTCACTAAGCTACAATGATTTGGATTATTGAATTTTTCAAAAGCAGCTGTAAATCAGGATCCGAAACGTTTTTGAAAGTATATTTTGCTTGTGAATGCGAATTGCAAGTTGACTCTGCGAGAAATTTTATTATAGCGACTTATCATTTCAATCTATAGTAAAAAAAAATTGATTTAGTTCATTCAGTTTTACTCACGAATCATAAAAATTGGATGGAACCTCGATTTCGCTTGCACAGAACAGATTAAGTAAAACTAAATAGTTTCAAACGCCGATGCGCATTCGTGATTTAAATTGAATGAATTATTTCGGTCTCATGCCATTCTGCCCTATACTAAAACACCCTTTATTCAAATCTATTCTATATTCCAATCTACCTTATGTTCTTAATACATTAGAAGTTGTCTGAGACAATGAGCTGACTTACTATCTCGGTTTAAGGTCGCCGGTTGGCGCGATAACCGGCTCGATTTTTCGCATTGAATCTTACCCTCTTTTGGCGAGCTCGCAAAATGTTTGTGCGACTGTGGCTATCACTATTTTGCTGTTATCATTGGAGCGTTATCATTCTTGCTGAAGACTTTAACGTGCTTTTAGATGATTTTTTTGTTCTTCACTTTTTTGTATTTTGAACGTTACGGAAAGAATTGATTTATTAGAATAAAGTAATATTTCAAATACAGTCACGGATAAACAACTTTCCACTTTGTTTTCTCCCGTGCATGTGGACGAAACTCTTTACAAATTTTTTCGCAACTATTTGATATAGGAGTTATGTGCAGGGTTGTAATGTAAATAGGAGTAGTGTAATAGGGGGTTGAATTTTAGACACATGGCTGATGGAACTATATATAGGGATCTGGCTGTATGAGAGCTCGAAGTCTTTTTGAAGGCATTAATTAGCCAGCCAATCAGTTAGTTTCAAAACAAAGGTATATCCTTTTTGTGGAATCATCCTCGTAAACAGAAACAACACAAGCAATTTGAAACTACGGACTAACTTTGTTACTTACTCGGTTGAAAACGAGAAGTTTTATTTATTTTGAAAACGAGAAGTTGCATTTTGCTGTAGCGAAAACTTGATCAAGGAGGTAATTTTTATGGAAGGAGCATTTGAGCTCTGCGATATAGGCTGCCTTTACTATAATGCGCTGGTTAGTCTAAATCTTGTTGATTTTTTTTTCGGGTTAAAATTTTAAAATCTGCAAACGCTCAAATGGAAATTTTCGCGGCTTTGTTTTTTGATTTCTTTGAAAGTTCATTTTATTATCTTATTATCCACTTTTATCAAAAAAGTGTCAATCATAAAATCGTATTGTATTTCAAAGAGCTCTCTATGGTTTTTTTTATAGATTCGAACATTCGAAATATCAAAAAAAAAATCGGATAATTTTTTAGCAGTCTCTTTGAGTTCATTGACACTTTCCGAAGTCGATTGGCTATGTTATCAAATCAAAATGTTAACATGGCGTGGCCCATATGACAAAACATGCGCATCGATATGGTTATTCTATTGGATGAGCCTTATCTCAAGGATTTTCCTATTTATATGTAGTTCGTTGGTAAATACAAGATCATTTGATAGACACTCTGATCACCAAATATCTTTTACTGCAAGAAGCCATTTGGTGTTTCAGAAATCAAATGGTTCAAAAGCTGCGAAAGTTAACTAAATCTGGTTTAAGTAGTTTGGGACCTAAACTTTGTAAAACAACCACTGAATCATCTTCATCCAACGCTGCTTCTGCTTATCATTTGTCTCAAAATCTTAATTCTCGAAGTGAGTTGAGTCCCAGTTTGACTTTAGTTAGAAGTTATTCACACTTCCTTAGATCAGTTAAAATGGTAAATGAGTCATCTTTGCTGGTGAACGGAAATTGCGCCAATGGCCATGGAGAAACGAATGGAAAACACACTGCAACTACAGTACTGAACAGATGGAAGCATAGTTACTCTATTAGTGACAAGGAGCTGAACTCCGATGACACTGAAGTGTATCAGATAATGTTGAATGAGAAAAAGCGACAGAGATACGAGATTGAGCTGATTGCTTCGGAGAATTTTGCATCGAAAGCCGTGCTTCAGGTAGGGAAAACCAACTCATAGTTTAGATGAAAACATGAGCGACTAGCTTAAGTGGCGATGGTTAAATTCGTTGACCATCAAAATTTCTGTTTCGTCAGCCCGTTTTCCTTTGAATATTTGTCAAACGTAGCTCGATTCTTGAGGTTTCAATTTTAAGCATTGTTTATATAAGTTTTGAATGATGTTAGATACTTGATATTTTAGAATTAAATTCTTTTAACTATTTCTGTTTCTATTCTTGCAGGCTCTTGCTTCGTGCTTGCAGAATCGATACTCGGAAGGTTACCCTGGAACCAGGTACTACGGAGGTCAAAAGTACATCGATCAGATGGAACGTCTCTGCCAGCAGAGAGCTCTGGAAGCCTACCGTCTGGAACCTGAAAAATGGGGTGTGAACGTGCAGCCCTACTCGGGATCTCCGGCTAATTTTGCCGTGTACACAGCTCTGGTTGGACCTCATGGACGCATCATGGGTCTGGATTTACCGGATGGCGGCCACTTGACGCATGGGTTTTACACTGAGAAGAAAAAGATTTCGGCAACTTCGATTTATTTTGAGTCGCTGCCGTACAAAGTGAACCCGGAAAGTGGTTTGATTGATTATGAAAAACTGGAGGAACAAGCAAAACTCTTCAAACCAAAACTTATCATTGCAGGTGGGTTTTATTTTTGTACTTAATTCAATGCAGTTACTTTAAGCTTGGCATTAGGCATATTGTGATCATTATGGCACAAATTCTAGGTGTGAGCTGCTACTCTCGTAATTTGGACTACGCTCGATTCCGAGAAATAGCAGATTCCGTGGGTGCTTATCTGATGGCTGACATGGCACACGTTAGCGGACTTGTCGCTGCAGACGTTGTCGCGAACCCTTTCGAACATTGCGACGTCGTCACAACAACCACTCACAAGAGTTTGAGAGGCCCGAGGTCGGGAATGATCTTCTTCCGAAGAGGCGTTAAGTCTGTGAACGCAAAAGGCGAAGAAGTATTGTATAACATGGAGAGGCCGATCAACGAAGCTGTTTTTCCCGGGTTGCAAGGAGGTCCGCATAATAACACTATCGCTGCTCTGGCGGTAGCTTTGAGACAGGCGAAGGAGCCAGAGTTTGTCGACTATCAGAAGCAAGTGTGTGCCAATGCGAAGCGAATGGGAGACGAATTGATGAAACGGGGATATAAAATTACCTCAGGTTAAAATTTTAATCATAATCTTTCTTCCACTAAGTACCTGTCCCTGCAATTAAAACTTGTTTAAAGAAAGTAATGAAAAATTAGTCGAAGAAGTCCTTGTGATGTAAAATAATAATACAATTCCAGTCTGTATACTAGTTTCACAATTAATTGTCGTTTAATGAGTTTTTAATGTTCAGGTGGAACTGACAATCACCTGGTGCTTCTCGATTTGCGACCCATTGGATTGGACGGCGCCAGAGCAGAACGAGTCTTGGAATTATCTGGCATCACCTGCAACAAAAACACCTGCCCTGGAGACAAAAGTGCTCTGAAGCCCAGTGGACTTCGATTGGGATCCCCTGCCATGACATCGCGAGATATGGTTGAAGACGACTTCACCCAAATTGTAGACTTCATTGACCAGGGTATCAAAATCACCCAATCGGTATTCGCCAAATGTGGGCCTACAATTTCAGATTTTAAGAAATTTGTAGAAACTGATACGGAAACCACGACGAAAATTGATCAACTAAAGCATAAGGTAGAAGCGTGGGTCGGCGACTTTCCGTTGCCAGGCATGGATGACATCTGAACTGTTTTGCTGGTCATATTTTAAGTATGAATTGATATTTGATTCTTTTTTTTTCTATTCGACTTTATGAACTGCGATCGTAGTGATTTGAGTTGTTTTCTTTGTAAACAAGTAGTGTAATATTTTAAGGCTGTGTAACCGGAAATTACTCGTTAGATTGACTAATTTTGCCGTTTGAATAATTTGATGATGGTGCTTGCTTACAGTGTAAATGTGTAAGTGTTTTTCTGTCTTCAAAATGGAAATAAAATTCATTGCAATCTATTTTAACGTAATGATTATGCTTTGAAATTCACGTTTTGGAACAAAGATTTTACAAATTGAAAATGTCAAAGTCGCAAAACTATGAGATCGTTCTTGGAATTTACAGGCCTACTTGGTTATCCAATATTTCTAAAAAGTCCAAAAAGCTAATTTGTTAGCAGATGTAGCTGCTTTTTTTGTGACTAGTGTTTGCCAGTTGTTAAGAGTTCGTGGCCGAGAGGGTAGGGCGTGAGACTCCAATTCTCCAGGTCACAGGTGTGAGTCCCATACGTAGCTAAGTTTTTTACTAGATCGAGGCTTATTTTTTATTCACTTTACAAAGCTGCTTTTTTGTGTTTTCGCTAGTATTTGCGAAGCTCAGCTTCGCCTCTGTAGAAATGGAAGGCAAACGCCATCGAGCAGCAAAAGTATAAAGGTCGCGAGAAACTTGATCGTCTTCTAATTTCGAACTCGGAATTTAATTTTCACATTTCCTAGCGAACTAAAAATTTTACCTAGTGATCCAGTTTTCTCAATTTGAGCTAATTTTGTCAAAATAAGTATCAATCATAAAATGTTCTTGAACTTCAAAGAGTCTTAATGCAATATATTTTTTAGTTTTTTTAAGTTCGAAAGTTGAAGTTTTTTCTCAAAAAGTCAATTGTTTTCTGTTTCCTTGCGTTCATTGACTCTTTTCAAACAGTCTGTTGGCTATCTTTATGCTTGCGATTAGCAAGCGTTATCAAACTGGAATCTAGACTTTTTTCGGGTGAACAACTTATTTAACAGAATCACTCGAATCAATTGTCATCTTGGTTCATAATGAATTCAAATTTCTAAACGTCTCCGGCACGCTTAGTCTGAAGGTAAATAATAAGGCTGGGAAGGCAAAAGTCCTGGGTTCGAAACTGAACCGACCTGTTTTTTTTTTCAAACTGGAAATGGTCCGTTTCCAAAAAAATTGTTGGCTTATTATTGTCAACTTATATTTTGTGGACTTAGTTGCCATAATGTAGATTTCTTAAAAAGTTTATTTACATTGTAGTTGCTTTGAGTGTTCTGATCAACCTCTGCTGTTTCTAATTTAACTAAAATTGACTTCGTATACTGACTTCGTAAATTGACTTAGTTGCCATAATGTAGATTTCTTAAAAAGTTTATTTACATTGTAGTTGCTTTGAGTGTTCTGATCAACCTCTGCTGTTTCTAATTTAACTAAAATTGACTTCGTATACTGATGAATTTATATATTTTTTGTCGGCGTAATGACCTAATGTCGAGTCGTTTCAACGGAAACATTTTTTGTACTCACCTCTGGATCGCGCAAAATGGTAAGTTTCTGAGTAGAAATATAGTTCCATTTTTTCATGATAATATTTTTTCCGCTTTTTTTTGGTTTGTTTTCCTATTTTTGGCTTGATAGATTGCGGCGTATATTCTATTGGCCTACTGGGCTCATATTGCGTCTTTCGACAAGCGAAAAAAGTTTTGTGCGTGCGTGTCTGTGTTTTGAAGTTGAGGGGAACTTAAAATCTTATTAGTCCTCATGTTTTTTTCGGCTTTTTATTTTCCTTCTTTGGGCTTAATATGTTCGGCCTATATTATATCGGCTTATGGTCCTCATGTTGCTGCGTTTGAGGAGCAAAAAAGTTTTTTGAGGGTGAAGTCGACTTAAAAATTTTTCAGAAGTCTGAAGTCTTGATTTTCTTCGGGTTAAAGGGTTTCTGACAAGGTTTTTTTGGCTGTTACCGATGGGTACATTATCTCCTGATGCGGATTACACATTCTATTGTCTTGTCATGTTTTTGTTCCAAAACTAGCCTTATTCAAAAGATTTCATCTAGTTTTTTTGACCTTTTCGACTTTTTTTCGTTTTTGTTTTGTATCGGAAGTGATGCGAAGTGTTGTACATACTTCTCCAAAGTTAACGTCATGTGTGTTCAAATTCTTGTTACTGGTACATTATTGTACTAAAATTATTGGCTCTTTTTCTTTTTGTCCCACCTGCAATTTTTTACATGTAAATTTGTTGACCACATTGTCCGATTGTTATGAAAATTGACATACAGACTAATAAGGCCACGACAAATATATTTGGTCTTCATACTCAACCTCGTAAAACCACTAGTTACTCTAATGTATTGAAGCTCGTGTGAGGCGGGGGGAAGTAAAAAGAGCCAAATTATTTTATTACAGCTCGGTATTTTCGACTGGTTTATATGGTAGATGGTCTATACTTTTTCTAACCATGTTTTTTTCGATTTCTGTAAGTCGATCAGAAAAGTTTGAATTTTTGAGCAGCTACATATCGTGCTATGCGCGCATAACGCTAGTTTTTTTTTGCTTCAGGCGCTTGAAAACAGACTTTCGGTTCTAATAGCGTCCTCCCAATCTTTTGTCAGTCAATAATTTTGCTTATTTTTGTTTCATAAAAAGTATCATTAAATTAGATTGGAAACAAGTTATCTATTATATATTTAAATGCGGGCTTCACTATCTCGCCATGTTTAAGCTTTTTCAACGTATTATTTTTGCATGTTTAAGCTATATCGTATATTGCAATGGTTAAGATTTTTTTTCGATTTTCCAATTTGGTTTTAGTGGTTATTTTACCGAATTTAAATTAAGCAGCCCAATATCGAATTAGTGGTTGACAATTTTGCCTCCAATTCTGAATGTCCGAATCATTTTAGTTAACGAGATATGACGTTTTTTTGTGATTTTTCAAAAAACTTTCAGAAAACCTATATCAATTTTTTTCCGCAAAATCTGAAATTCCCAACCCTGTAGTTGGGTCCTGTCAGATTATTCTCAAAGATTGCGAATCTTGCCTCCAAATATGACAGCTCAATTCTCGGTAGTTTTCGAGATATGACGTTTTTTGTGATTTTTTCAAAAATTTTCAGAAAACTTAAATTATTATGATTTTTTGAAAATCTGAAATTCCCAACCCTGTAGTTGGGTACTGTCAGAGTACTATCAAGGATCACAAATCTTGCCTCCAATAATGACTGATCAAATCCTTGTAGTTTTTGAGATATGAAGTTTTTGTGATTTTTTCAAAAATTTTCGGAAAATTTTAATTTTTAAGTTCTCAAAATTTGAAATTCCCAATCTTGTAGTTGGGTGCTGTCAGAGTAATCTTGAAGATTGCGAATCTTGCCTCAGAATATGGCTGCTCATTTCTTTGTAGTTTTCGAGATATGACGTTTTTGGTGATTTTTTCAAAAATTTCCAGAAAACTTCAGAAAGTTTAAATTAATTATTTTTTTAAATTTGGAATTTCCAACGCGATAGTTCGTTGTTGTCAGGTACGCTTAAGAGTTGCAAATCTTGCCACACGCGACTGCTAAACGCGACTGCTCAAATGCTTTTAGTTTCCGAGATGTGACCTTTTTTGATTTTTTCAAAATTTCTCAAAGAACTTATCTACAAAGAAATTCAAAAAATATTAAACTAGTAACTTGATGAAGATACAACCTTATTGTCAGCGTACACCCAGGCGTCTGAAATCTTGCCTCATAATTTGAATGCTCAATCTTTTTAGTTTCCGAGATAAGACGTTTTTTTTCTATTTTTTTTTCGGGAACCAGGTTTAAAAAAATTCACAAAATCTTAGATTCCTAACCCTATGGTAGGGTGCTCTCAGGGAATCTCAATGTTTGCAAACCTGGCCTCCAAGTTTCTCCAGAGGCTCATTAAGTTTTCCAGATGACGCTTTTAAAATCGGAAATAAAAAAGTTTAAAAGTTTGAAATTACCAACCCTGTAATTGGCTGCAGTCTGAGTACACTCAAAGTTTGCAGATGTTGTTTCCAATATATGCGGTTTTTTTCATGAGCTGTCGAAAAATTTCGAAGCACCGAAGGTGCGTTAAACGCTAGTTATTATTATTACTTAAGTTGATTTTATACGGATAACACATTCAGCAAAATCTTCATTCTTCATCAAGTTTTCAGTTGGACTGAACAACCGCGCAACATTCACAGTAACTTAATCACTGCGATGTCGACATTCTCAAAGTACATGCTGTCAAGCAGCAGTAGCAGTAGCGACGTGGCTGGCAAGTCGAGTGATGTCCTGAGTTCGGCGGGCGAGAGTAGTGGAAGCACGGAGTGGGTTGTGGAGAAAGTTGTGGACAAACGGGTTCTCCCCTCGGGCGAAGTACATTACAGGTAGAAGAGTCAAAAAAAGTCTTTTTACTTTTTACTCCCACCCCCCCCCCCCCACCTCACACGAGCATCAATTTTATTGTCTAACGAGTGGTTTTACAAGGTTATTTATGAAGACCAAATATGTTTGTCATGGCCTAATTAGTCAGCATGGAAATTTTCATGACAATCGAACAAGTGAACAGTTATTTTAAAAACAAAAATTTGCAGGTGAGGGGAAAAGGAAAAAGAGCCAAGGTCTCCAACAGCCATAAAAATTTCCGGGATGTTTACTCAAGCGAGATTCAGAAGTATACAGAGTGCAAGACTGTATTTTTGGCACGCAATTTTTGTTGCAGATAAAATAGCTTCTGAATTAAGAATCGTTCGAATTGAAGTTCCCTTTTCCTGTCGAAATACCTTTTATTGGCTTACTTCAACCTAACAGAAGATTTAATTGTGAATTTTTGTTTTGTTCAGTGAACGGCGTTTTGTTAAGTTAACGATTTAAAACAGGTTTTTTATATAGAATATTTTGTTGAATTTGTCACAGCTTAATTGCGTTATCTGTAAACTGCATAAAGAACTTAAACCAGGAGCGAATATAGGATTTTCGCGAGGGGGAGAGGGTTTTGAAAAAGTTGTCAAGCCTTTCCAATTTGACTCTCCGAACGCTCTAACATAAAAAAGCTTTCTTCGCTTGCTCGCTTTCAAATTAAGCCTGTGTGTTACTTTGTATATCACTTTGTATGTCATTTCACGTGAGCTTTGAATATATCTTTAGTATTTTACCCTGCTTTAACAATAGTAGCAGGAGTAAAATGACCTTTGCGGGAAGCTTCAAGTCCCCTCCAGTCTGGCTGGAGGATCAAATATTCGCGTCATGGAAAGCTGAATTTATGCTGTGGACACTGGTTACCGATCTCGATGAGAAGAAACGTGTTGTCGCTGTAGCTTTATATCTCTCTGGGCGAAGGCGCGAAGTGGCCATGGAAGTTCCTTCTACGGACCTGAACGAAGATGGCCTTGAATCACTTCTAAACAAGTTGGAAACTGTGTTCGGAATAGATACAGTCGATGCTGCTCTCATTTCCTATGACAGTTTTGAGTCTGTTAAAAGGCTAGGAAAGACGATAGCAGAGTATATTCAAAACTTTGAAATGATGCACAAAAAATTGAAAAAGCATCAAATGGTTATTCCCGATAATATACTTGCTTGTAAATTGTTGAGAAATGTGGAACTAGAGGAGAAGGAACGTCAAATGGCTCTGGCTGCTACTCGTGATTTATCTTATTATGCCATGAAAACAGCGCTGAAACGAATTTTTGCATCAACTACGGCTAGTAAGAGTACGCTTGCAGTATCCTTGAAAGAAGAGCCAACATTTGCTGCCTCTAACGATAACGTTTTTCTGGCCGGATCGAAGAATAGGAAAAGCGGAAAACCGTTTTTCAACAAGCCGGAATCGAGTGGAAATAACCCAGTTGGAAAAGACGGAAAAGTCACAAATTGTCGTGTTTGTGGATGCAGATTCCATTGGGCTTGTTTTTGCCCAGAAGACAAGCAGGATATTCGGAATAATCAGCGAAATGGTTGCCAAGACGAAGGAGAAGAGCATAAAACATTCATAACGTTTATTTCTGGAGCGCTACAGTTGATAAAAGAATCATCTAACAGCGCTATTGTAGACACAGTATGTCTTCGTACTGTAGCAGGTGACAATTGGCTTCACCAGTTTGTTCAGAGATTGCCATATCACTTGGCAAATGGCGTCACTTTCCAAAAATCTAGTGCTGGAATAGTTTTTGGAGACGGCAGAAGATAAGTTTGTGTCAAAACGGCGTTTTTCCCGATAAAAATTGGATCTTTGGCGTGCAAACTGAAGATTTTGAATTGTAATTTACCGTTGCTACTAAGTGTTAGATCCATCGAAAAGGCACAACCATCAATTCAGGCGCATAAGAAGATTATCCTGACACGGGGGAAATTGTCCCTATGAAAAAGCTTTCTAGCGGTCATCTTGCTGTTGATGTTTTTCCGACTTCCTCGGAAGATGACCACCTTTTCTTATCAAAAAATTTTGATCTCATGGTTTCTAAGCAAATATTCAAGCTTCACTGTCAGTTTGGTCACTGTAGTGGTCAGAAGTTCTTGTCTATGTTAGCGCAAGCTAGTAAAAAGAGTGCCTCTCAGAAGAAAAGTGTTGAGAATGTCTGTGAATCGTGTATCGTATGTGCTAAATTTGGCTGAGCAAAAGCGAGACCTGTTGCGCCGCTTCCTTTGTCTGTCAGATTCAATGACATGATTGCTATTGATCTACACAAGATGACAGAATTGGGGTCCTCTGTTTATTATTTGCATATCATAGACGTATTCACAAAATTTAGTGAAGCTGGATTTCTTTTCAACAAGAAACCGGAGAGTGTTACTGGCGTTTTAATGAAAAAGCGGTGTCTTCGATATGGTTATCCAAAGAAAGTATTCGCCGATAATGGTGGAGTTTTCCAACTTGAAGTTGATATCTGTGACAGAAAACGCTGATATCACCTTAAAGTTCACAGCTGGTGACAGTCCGCTGTCAAATGATGTCTGTGAGCGTCACAATGCGCTAATCCCTGAAACCTTCCTGAAAGTATCAGAAAATAAGCCAGGATCAGAGCCAGATGTTTTAGACCATGCAGCTTTCGCCAAGAATTTCTTGTTAAATAGCAAAGGGTTTTCTCCCCATCAACTTGTTTACGGAAACAGTCCAAACATACCAAATGTCACTACGAACTCTCTTCCTGCTTTTGCGGAAGCTTGTATCAGCAAAACGTTCTCAGATCAACTGAAAAAGCTCCATGACGCAAGAAGTGCTTACTTGAAGTCGGAAAACTCAAGCCAGATCCGTAGAGCTCTTTTGAGTTATGTACGAAAAGATGCGGGTGCCTTCCTTTGGGGGGATGATGTTTTCTATAAGCGGGAAGAGAATAAATGAAAAGGTCCAGCGAGAACAATTGGCCTAGATGGCCGAGTGTACCTTCTACGTCTGGGGGGACAAGTTGTTAGAGTTCATTCCAATATGATACGTCATGTAAAGTTCGCGATTCCTGAGGATTTTGTCGACAAACCACCAGAGGTACAAGACGTGACAGGAACAAAAGTCAGTTCTGGGAGCGATAGCGTTTACATGGACCCAGATGAAATTTCGGACACACCTCACCAGTGAAATGAGAAGGAGTTAGAGGGCTCTGATTTGCTGGAGGGCTCATCTGACATGATTCGAAAGAATCAAGATAATGTAATTCCCCAGATCGTTGACAATTCGGATCAATTGGAGCAGGTATCTGACCAAGTTGTCGCTAAATTAACCAGTTTTCCTAAAATTGGTCAGAAGATCAGACTGGTTTTGCGAGATCCTTCTGTACCTGGGGTCGATTGCGCTGGAACTGTTTTGAGCAGAGGAGGTAAGAAAACAGGTCAGTATAGGAATTATTACATTATTGAATTCGAAAAACCAGATGCTTGTCATGGTGTTACTGACTGCATTGACTTTAAAAACGACGTGTTGCTCTGGGAACTATCTGTAGATGAAGAAACTTGCCTACTGACAGTATCAGATGAACAAAAGGCATTCTTAAGTTTCGCAAAACAAGCGGAGTACGAGAGCTGGCTTGAAAATGAGGCTTTCGAGGTAGTAACAGACAACCATCAACACTGTATTTCAACCAAGTGGGTAACTACTGAGAAAGATGGCACAAAAATCAAAGCTCGCCTTGTTGCAACAGGATTTGAAGAACTCGGTACTGATGACATGGTTCGCTATTTACCAACTGCCGCTAAAGACTCTAAGACTATTGCTTGCTATAATATCTTCGTCCGAGAACTGGGAAATGGGTTGCATGGACGTTCAAAGGAAAAAAGACCAACCGTGACGTGTATTTGTCGCCTCCACCAGAGTTTGCAGAGAAAAACAAGTCATGGAAACTTAAAAAGACTGTGTATGGGCTAGTTGATGCTTCACTCAGTTGGTATGAGAGTGAAAGATGTATTCATTGTGCTAGGAGGAACCACTTGCAAATTTGAGGAAGGAGTGTTTGTGTTTCGTGATTCGCGTTCAAAAACTATTGGCCTTGTTTCCATACATGTCGATGATTTCTTCTGGACAATAAATCAAAATTTTGTCCGCGCTGTGGTTGTAGGAATTAGGAGCAATTTTGGTTTAGAGGATTTCTTGCCTTTGAGTTTGTCCGTAAAAAACAGGGAATAACTGTAAATCAGACAAATTATCTTGAAAAATTTCAGCAAATTCGTTTTTCTGGAGCCGGAGGAGAGTTATCGACACAGACTCAGCCAGGTTTATCTTTTGGTACTAGTACAATGGCATCGAAGATAAGAACCTCCAAGAAGTCTGACCTTGCTGTTCTTAACAAGCTCATACGTAAATGCGAAGCTATTCCTGCTAAACTTTGTTTCCAAACACTTGGTGATGTCGAAAACTGGGTCATTATTGTCTATACCGATGCCTCGCTAGCAAACTGTGAAGACTTGACGTTACAGTGTGCATGTTTGCTTTTTCTGGCTAATAGAAGAACATATACAAGCGTTCTGATATCGTGGAGGTCCCAGAAGTCCAAAAGGGCTGTCAGAGGCACTCTCAGTGCGGAAACCGTTGCGTGTGTAGAAGCATTGGACTCTGGTATTCTGTGACAACACACTTTGAAAGAGGTATTTTGTGTCAAGTTGCCTATTTTTTTGTGCTACTGACAATGAATCGCTTGTATCTACAGTACTCTCTCCAAAGATTGTAGCTGATAAACGCCTGAGAGTTGATATTGCCTTTTTACGAGATCTGATTTGTCATAATCCTTCCATACGCTTTTTTTGGGTGCCCACGAAAGAGCAACTTGCTGATTGTATGACAAAAAGTAATAGAAACACTGAACAAAACATTATTCGCGACCAGTTTGTGGAGATTTTCTTTGCTAGCAAAGCAGTTAGAGAATCGCTATGCACGTCGTCCCAAACTTTGCGGAAGTAAGCCCTGGAAACCTAAATTTGTAACTCATAATTATAACTTATTCATTTCGTACTGCTTAAGTGTTAAAGCGTTATTCATTTCATACTGCTAACGTGTTAACATGTTATACCTTATTGAAACATATTCATTTAGCTGGAGTATTTTTTGTAAGTATGTGATAGTTGACTGATTAAAGTGAGTTTACCAGACGGTAACCCATTTTGATTTACCCATGATTTCATCAATCTAAAATATTGGGTGATTGTTACTTTGTATATCACTTTGTATGTCATTTCAGGTGAGCTTTGAATATATCTTTAGTATTTTACCCTGTTTTAAATGTGTTAGTGTTTTCATAAAACTGTTGAGTTGGTCAACTTGAAATACGTGTCATGAAATAGGGCTGAAATTTCAAATCAAATATGTCAAATTGAAGGCTTCTCAGTTGTGATTCTCATCTCAGCGCGAAATTCCGAAAAAAGTGCTTCAATGTCGAGAAAAATTGTCTGGTGTTTCTGCTATTCAGTCTTAAGGTTAACGAAGAGCGGATAATTTAGCCAGAGAGAACTGTAAAAAGGATAAAAAATAATTAAAAAGTTTATCGGATGCAGTTTTATTCACTGGAAGGAAATCTCAAAAGTATGAAAATTTTAAAGAACTTTCACCAAAATTTTTTTCGATGAGATATTTGTCATCGGAACCTTATGATTCTTGAAAAACACCAGGCTGCTCTTGTCTCTTGTCTTTCTAAACTTTCTATTAACAAGTGACGTGAAATTTGGTATCAGACTTTTTGTTGCAAACGTTTTCTAACCGAAACAGTTGTTAGATGCACGTGTTATAGTATGAGCTTTCTTTTTTTTTCCAATCTAAGTCGCAAATTTTGTAGACTCATAGTTTTACTCATTCAGTTTTTCCCAGTAGCGTTATCGGTCATATTTTTGCTTGTGTGTGCGAAGTGCAACTTCGCCTCTGTGTTTGAGATTTATGAGGAAGCATTTCACATGATAAGGGCTGGAAATGTTTTTCTTTTTGAAAAATGCGTATTTCGATGGAGCTTGCGAGCGTACACTGGTGCAAAAACTCTGTGTGAATATTATTACAAAATGATACGTGTTGAGTGTCATTTTATTACCAGTTGAAAATGTTGAGTGAAAATATTTCTCATAGAATTTTGGGGGATTGAAAGTTGTTAAGTTGGTGGACTTAATAATATACGATTTTTTTGTGTAAGCGCGACTTAATCTTTGAGTTTAGCGAATCAATTCAATAGTCTCAAAGAATATTCAATAGTCCCAAATTGAATTGACGCACGGTAATTGGTCCCAATCATTTTTTCCACATATTGAAATAATTTTTTCAGTTCCGGTTGCTTTTTGAAATCGATTTTTCCAAAGCTTATATCTGTTACTTTTTTCGTATATTATCTAATTGTAGCTTTGTTGCTGTATTTTTTTTTCCAATTGCGTTTTCGAAGTGCAGTTTTGCTTCTTTGCAAATATTTATCTGATTATTTTTCGGGTTAAGTCATGCCGGGTTAAATTTTGCATTTTAAATAAATTCGATTGTTTCTCCAGAACACTTTTTCAGCTTTTTCGATTTGTTGTAAATGCCGGTTTTATTCGAAACTTGTTTTTGAGGTTCGTTGAAAATTTACCAACTTCGTTTTGTATAATTTTTTTTTCTTTTTCAAATTACTCGGCTATTTTTATACCAGTTTAGTTGCTTCTTGTTTAGTCATTTATCGGGGGAAAGGTAGTCCTGCATGTGTATCTTTCAGGAAAGGCTGAAGAACGGGGGTCAATTTCAATATTTTATATGAATTTTTTCTGCTCATCGGGCTCAAGCATTGTCGGCGTAGTTTCGCTTTCTAATTTTGTTTTGATGCTATTTCAATTATAGCAGTTGCCTTACATAGTAAAATTTTGTAGGATCTAGTTTTTTGACCTGATTGTTTTCGAGTTGCGTACTTCATCTCATTTAGCTTCTGTTTTTTATATCTAATTACTATTAGTTATTATATAACTACTAATCAATAATCCTTACCAATATTAACTTGCTACTTTGGTCATAGGTTAAAGTGGAGGGGCTACCATGAGCACGAAAACACCTGGGAGCCAGCCCGGAACTTGAACTGTCCCGACTTGGTTGCCCAGTTTGAGAAAGATAACCCGAACGGAAACTTCTACTATAGTCCGAAGAAAGCTGATAATGGGAAGTGTGTCAGTCCCCCGATGCAGGAGGGATCCAAACTGGTATCAAAGAGTCTGTTTGCATCATCACTGCCCTCGGTTAGAAAATGATATTACACTCCTCTATGTATAGTCCGATATAGAAACAACTTTTTGGCAGATCAAGCCGGGTCAAATTTTGATGATATCTAGGAATACAGTCAACACGATTCATCCAAAAATGAAAGGGTCAAAATTTAGACTGACATGGTCGTGCGAGAGACTTTCGACATATTCTTGCAGCAAAGCGCGTATCTTAGTTTGTTCTTAAGTTAAATTCTAGGAGTAATTTAATCACCTTGATGGATAATGAAGCTCAAATTATGGTGAAAAAATGGTATCTCAAATCCCGTTGCATACCGAATTTTTTCGGTTCGAACTTTTCTGTTATTGCTAATAAATTGACAGCTGATTTTTGTTGCTGACCTCTGTCGCTTCAGCACTGTAATTTGAATTATTAAAATTTGCACTCCGATTGTTAAATATTGTGTTAGATCAAAAAATCCATTTGTTAAATACTATGCATTTACTAGAATCTAATAAGGCAAAATCATTAGAGATTGTTTGGCTCACGTAATGTGAACTTCCTACGGCGCATTGCTTTTGATATCAGCTTCATTATTATAAAAAAAACAAGGGTTCGGTGGCTGTTTAGAAATCGCTGACGAGTGAAAAGGCTATTCGGAAAGCCCGGTCTTCTATGGACGCCCATTCATCATTGTCTCCGCAGAAAAAGGCTTCTGTTTCTACGCCAAAAGCTCAGCATGACTTCTCGCCAATCAAGAAGCCTACGAGACCTGAAGAAAAAACTCAGTCGCCCAAAAAAGACCCTTTAGACTTGAACAAAAGTAGCACACACACTCTAGTTAAGCGTGAAAATAGCGAATCTAGTAGCGTGAGTGCAAGTTCAGAGGACAAAAATCAACAAAACATCAAAAACATGTCTTCAAAGAACGGCAGAAGTTACCAAAACGCCTTTCTAGACTTAACGGAAGAACCCTCAGATGTCGGTGCTAGTAGTGAGGTTAATAAAACAGCAAGTTTGACAGGGTTCGGAAGGGGTTTAAAACCCGAGAGAATTTTGGGTATTGGGGGTCGATGAAAAAACAGGAGAGAAGAAACTTCTGATTAAGTGGAGGGGCAGTGGCTGGGCCGATTTTGTGTCCACACGGGAGGCGTATCAAGAATGTCCTCAATTTGTACTGCAGTACTACGAAGAGATGATCGTGTTTGGAAAGGAGGTGAGGCTAAGTTCTGACCGCAAGTGAAAACTGGCTGCTGAAAAATTGAAAAACTCTAATCCTGACGAGGATAAAAAATCTCTAGCAAACTTTAGAGGACTGAAAATGATTCAGTAAATTTTGTAGACAAGTGTTGTTCGATGTCAAATTTGTTCGATGTCCTGGTCAGGGGCGTCCGCTTCCC